GTGTCTCTCAGCAGCCAAGGGGACTCCCCCAGGGCGGGGGTGTGGGTGTGAGAGATTTCCGTGAATAGATTGGATGGGTCTAAACTCGAAAGTTGGTCGCCTGGCAACTCAACGCGGACAAACAGACACGAGCCAAGAGGTTTTCTCGGATTCTATTTTCAGGAATTGGGGCTCTTCTCTCTCCTTTTTGCATGCGTCAATTTTTCTCCCGTGCGCCCAGATAAAATGGCGCTCCGCGGCAGAACCAATCCTCGTCAACTTCCAGGCCATCAGACACACAAGAGAACTTCTCTCCATAGCACTCAGCAGAGGGCGAGGAATGCATGAAATTGTAATCTTATTAAATCGATTTTTTCTCTCACTCGAGCTCTCCTGTCCTCCTCCATGTCTTTTTTCGCGTTCCATATCATTGAACTCTCCCGAGCGACTCTGGTTCTCTGCCATTTGTCCACGGAGGGCGACCATCGAGGGGTCAATAGCTGCTGCTGTCTGCTGAAACACACATTTTCCACCGCGATTCCGAATTACATTCACACAAAACACACCTTTATCACACTTCTTGTGGCCTTTGAAGCTCTTGTGGATCTTTTTATTTGATGGTTTTCTGCTCTATTTAAAGAAAAAAAATCATCTCAGAGCCAAAATACTCTTATTGAGAAGTTCTTGTTTCAAAGCTTTTGAGAACTAGCTTTAAAATTATCGACAATGAATTTCAACCAAGTTTTAACAAAATTATAGGGGAAAAATCGTTTAAATCGACAATTTAAGCATAAATTAGTCCACATTGATTCATATCAATACTATTTCCCCCCTAAAAATGTGTTAAAAAAGGGAAATTTCAGGCATTTCGTATCGATAAGTGTCGATAAGTTCACTAATTTACCAACATTTCCACGCCAGTGGAATAACTCGCTTCGAATATTTTTATCGATGTTTCAAAACAAGCTAAATGATCAGAAAAAACAGCTCAGAATTGTTGACAGAATACATTAGCCATAAAAAAGATTTGCACAAAACATACATGACTGTGAAGCAAGACTTGCTGACCCCTTGTTTTTCCCTCTTTTTTCCCTACCTTTCCACCTCACCAACAACATTGAGCCACCAGACAAATGTGCACAATTTTCTCCCCCTTCGGGCTCTGCCCACCCTCTCTCGTGTGTGTACAATTTTTCACCTTGTCTCTCAGGTAGATCGTGTGGGACAGACGAGGAGAAAACTCTACACCTGCCGCACTTTTTCCTCTCCCGCGTCTCACGAAATCCTATTAGATTTTATTTCAGCCCTAGCGAAGACCCCAGAGTGTTATTTTCGAGAAGGGGAGGAAGCCTATCAATAGAGCGTGTCTATTCTCGGCCGTGCGTCGCTGTGGAGATTTCTCAGGCGCGCACACAACATCTCGAAGATGGTCTCCATGTTGTGGCCTCCGTGGCCAACTGGTTTTGCGCCTATGGCGGCGCAGCAGAATCCCAAAATGGTGTTGACACAATCAATTGGATGCGGATCGCGAGGTGGGATGCGTATGTGGGTGGCGCCCAGCGGAAATCCATCGTCAATCCCTTCATGCCGCGCTCGCTTCATGGCGCGCTATATTTGTGCGCGCGGATGTTGTCAGTGGAATGAGGGCGAGTGACTGCAGTAAATTCATCCACCACACGCGATTGCCCCCAAACCTGCGCCCCCGAAGCATTCTCATGGATGTCACATACTCAGTCTCTCTCTCGCCCAGCGAGATATTCAGTGCGGCGTCGCATTTAAAATTGGAGCGCGTTGAACATCAGAGCGAATTGACGCAGAAGAGGGAAAAAAGACCATGAGAACCGCAGCCAGAGCATGAGTTCCGGAGAGAGACGCAGGTGAATATGGGGGTAATTTATTATTCTAATTGGTGTGTCATTGAATTTTGTTGTCAGTTTGCTGACTGCTTTTTAATGATTCCCATTCGTTCTCCCAGCAATTCCCGCTGAATTTGGTACTGGACTGATTGGGAGAGATCATTAGCATGGAAAAACGTTCTTTTGCCACTGAGAAGAACTTCAGCTAGCATAGACGAAACCCCCGAAAAAGAGTGTTTTTCGGATATTCTTGAACCCCCTTTTAGCATCACATGAACATTTTCGTGTTCAATTTGTCTTTTTCAGCATAATTTTCAGGTGTGTCAAGGGAAGTCTCTCTCTGATCGCTCCTCAATCGTGTGTGTCTAATTAAAATTCAAGTCCAAGGCGAAGCGTCGTCAGTGAGATCAGCCCCTGATTTTCACAAGAGAGCCAAATTAAAGAATAGCCTCTTCGGCGCTGAGATCTCCGCGCGATGCACGATATATTTCTTCTGGAGTGACTCAAATGACGCACTTTGCGATCATTAAAATGTCTTGGAGATTCCTATCGAGACGAGTCTGATCTCCGGGCCAGACAAAGAGCGTCTCCAGAGAGCAAAAAGGAAGGTGTAGGATAAAATGGAGAACGACGCGGTGGAAGAAGGAGGAAGAGGCCAAAAAAAAGAAGAAGATATAGCAAAGGGAAACGACTCCCCATTTCGCATCCATTATAGAGTATTAAAAATCATGGCCATTTGATGATTTTTATTGCTTCTTCTTCAACATATCTTCTTTTTTTTTTGTTCCTCCTCGCGCTGTATCTCTCCCTCGTGTTCTTGTGGCTTCTTTCCAGCCAGCGCGCGCCCATTCCTCGACTCCCCTGGTGTGTCGCCCAACAATGGAGCCCGCAAGAGTAATTTATTCACAATTCCACTGGCTTCTCACCGCGATCATCTTGGAAGTCTCTCTCGCATCTCTCGCTTCTCTTCCTTTCCACCTCGTCGTCTCCGGACTCGCCTTCTGTGCGCCTTATTTCGGGGCCTCAAATTGAGTCTGCGAGTCACACACAACATTTCGAAAAGCCAAAAGGGGGAGACTGAGACCATCATCATGATCCAGCGCTGCTGAAAAAAAGCGCCTCTCATGTATGTATAAAATTGTGATGAAAAAAAAGAAGATAAACGTGAAGCAGAGCCACATGAGGAGGCATCCAACTAATGTTTACTCGTTACGATTCGATGCGCGCGCAAGATTTTTTCTTTCATTATTTTTACTTTTATTGCTATATTTTATTATTTTTCATTTCGTTTTCATCTCTCTCTCTCGTGTTTTTCATCATCATCAAACCGTCGAAAATGCTTGACTCCAGGCGACACAAGTACGGTTGATATTTTGGCAAAGTGCTCGAATTTGATCACGAGGAGCAGTCAAAGCAAAGGAAATATAATGAATTATAAACTCAAGTTAAATAGGGGAAGGCAGAACAATTTCAGGCACACCAACAAGGAGATTTGGCAAAGATTTCTCTGTCCTTTGCAAGTTTGTATCCCAAGAGATTGGAAGAATAATTCAATTTCATGACAAAATCTCGATTTACTTCATCAGAACTTGTTTTTTCCTACCAACAAAGGGAAAATTTTAGAAATTACCATACAAGTGGCTCTCAATGAGTCCGCCCCGCTCTCCCCTATCCATAGGCTGATCATGAACCCCCGCGATCGATTACAATACCAGTGTCTCCCCAGTGAACGCCCGAGCGTGTGCAGGAGCTGTAAAGAGACGAACCCTCCTCCATTGTGTGATATATTTTAATGAGTCATCTTGGCGCTTTTCCATCTCTTCTCCTCTTCGGCCTGTCGTTCGCATCTCTTCTCTGACTCCTCTTTTTTTCGGTCGCCTCGAAATATCGACCGAGATTGGACGAGAAGGAGAAGAAGAGAGGCAAAAGTTGAATGATTGGACGAGAGATGATGAGGAGCAACACAAAGGGACTGCGCGCCGAATGGAAATCTCTCTCGTGGGAGAGAAGCGCCCTCGTTTCCACATCCACGCCCAGTAAATCTCACATCCTTGCGACGCCCACGGGCCAATTTGTCACTGACGAGGGCGCCCTCCCCCCTCGCCTGGCCAGAAGGGCGCTTTCGGGTGACGTGGAAAAAGGGGGAAAATTCCACGTACGCGGGGAGAAAATTATTCATGTCACTCCCCATCATTCTTCACCATTTAAATTGTGTTGATAGTGGCCAAGACTGTGGCATTAATATGGAAATACTTTTCAACACATTTATCACGATCTGTCATTAAATAATGGCACATTGAAGCAATAACATTTTTAATGTTCTTTTCTAAACCAAAATTACCACATTTTATCTCTCTCATGCTTTCTAGAAGGAGAGCTCAATGTTTTTTTGCCTCCGCACCTGGAATGTTGGTGACTTTTTTTTCTCGAGAAAACCCAAAAGACGCGCCTCTCAATTAGCAACTGTTTGGATGGAAACCTCTGTGTGTTGGCTTTTCGATGGGAGGAGGAAATAGTGAAATTAAAAATTGTAATTTTCAACACCCAATCGACTGACGCGCAGCACAACTTTGGGTGGGAAATGAAATCCGCTCCGTAAATCACGAAATTTACATCAATTTTCAATAACTCGTGGAAATAATTCGTTTTCCTTCGAGTGTTTGTAGTTTGAGGGGTAGTTTTGAGAGGTGGATTTTCACAAGGTTTGCCAAGGGATTTGAGAGTCTCTCTAATCTTGAGGAAGAGACGCGCAATAAGACGCCAACAAAGGAAATGTTCTGCTGATGTTTTCTAAATACATTCCAATTAAGAGAGAGGTTCTCTCGTTCAGCACCATTGTATGGGAATCCCTTATCTTGGTCAGACGACAAAAAGCCCCACTTTTCAATCATAATCTTTGGTTTTAGCGCTATGATACAAAGGCAGAGAGAGAGCAAAATGTGATGGCAGAGGAATGATTTCCACTGTGGTTTTCTGTCGAACCGCAGAATATCATCCCAAAATAGCGCTTATCGGATATAATTCCCTTGAAAAGCACGTCGCATTATCACTTTTTCCCAGGGAAGTCACTTTTTGGGGGAAAAATCACAGGAAATATTGTTGTTGGGATCACAAAGAAAACTCATCAATGGATTTGCAGTGTAAATCAATCGATTGAGGACTTACCAAATCCCGCTGATAAGAAGAAAATGCAGTAAAAGTCCGAATGCGGCGGACAATCTCGAGAATGATGTCTATTGTGGGCGCTGAAGTGGTGAAATATTCCGCCTTATCTTGCCACACAGTGCATCACTATCGACATTTTTCAGCGCTGGTTCAGTCTTCACTTCAGTCCTTTCGGGCTGATCCGGATTCAACCGTTAAGGCTACAGTTTTTAGGCACACAGAATTGTCACATTTAGCGGAGTTTTATTAAGCACTTGTTGAAGGCACATTGTTGGGGGGCGCGTTGTGATTTTGTCCTGCAGAATATAATCTCTCGAGTGTCCAAGAGTTCATCCGAAAACCAATAAAGTCACTCTTCTTCTCTCCCCTGAATTCTCCCAAAAAAAACAATCAAATCGTGCATGTAAATCCAGGTGCGATCTCAGGAGATCCAGGCAAAGCACAGAAAATCCAGGCAATAAAAAAACACTCTCACAGGAACGTCACAAGGTGCACAACACCACGGACAAAAATGCTGGGGCTTTCTGATGGTGTGAAGAAGTCCACCGCGGACAAGGCACGAGATGTTTCTCCTCCAAAGGTCTTGGGAGATGTGAGGCACCAGAGAGCTCTCTTTGCACCGCCAGCGCGGCTTCTGGTGTGTATCTTCTGGGCTCCCTGGACGCGAGAGAATCGCAGCTTGGCAGCAGACACGGGCCCAGAGAAATCCATCCACCACACTCACGTCGGCCACTCGCTACCTCGCGAAGGTGAGACACACACACGCCCAGCCGACCAACACACACTCTCCTCCGAGAGAGGCCCGAAGAAAACTCTTTTGTTGGGAGTTCTTTTTCTCCTCTTTGGCCTCTTCTTCGCCTCTCTCGGCTGCCCGCTCTCGCTCTCTCTCTCCCTCTCTCTGGCTGTCGGATATCTTCTCGCGCTCGCAATCCCAGTCGTCCCACTCTCTCTCATCCCTCGGCTCCGCGCCATCTCGCTCTCGCGCGCACTGTCTGTCGCTGATGAGTTCCGGTGAATTTCAGGCGAATGAGAGACGCAGAGTAGATAAGCCAGGTCAGCCAGGAGAGTGAGAGAGAGAGAGAGCGCGAGAGGGGAGATCCAACACACTCTCGTGCTGGCCAGGTGGAAATTTCGGAGGAGCAGCCAGCATCTGATCGCGGGCAAACACACTGCGCTTCCCTTCCGGAAAATCCTCCGTCAAGAGCCCCGATGTGATTCACCTTCGCCGAAACCCGATGACGCCGGAGGAAGAGGTGAGCGAACGGAAGTTGAATGTGATCCCAGAGTATGACTATGCCATATGGCGTTGTGATATTGTTTCCAAGATCAATTGACAACAAGCACTGGAGAAATCGAGAGGATGTTGACGCAGAGTGACCAGACACATTCGGCGGGGTACCGAAAATCGGCTGATTTTACAGGTAAGATTAGGCAGAGCAGCATTTGAAGATGTAAGATAAATACACTCTGGCTTCTGTCGTGTCCTCAATCAAGAAAACTATTTTATGGCCTTAATTGTGAAAAACAGAAGAAGAAAAATTTCAAATAAAAGTTCATATATTTTGTCTATTTTGTGCATTATTTTGAATAATTTGATGAAGATTAGAACTTATTCAGAATCAAGTTTCAAATCTAAGTCAAAATCTAGCTAAAAATCTAACTCCAAACCTAGCGTCACGTCTAATTCAACATCTGGTTTAGAATCCAGCTTCAAATTTAACTTTAAATCTAGCTTTACATCCAAGTTAGAATCCAGTTTGGAGTTCAGCTTTAAATCTTAGAATCAATCTTATGTCCTAGTTTAAAATCTAGCTTCAAATCCTGAGTGCTAGATTCGTCCGGCCTCGTGGAGTTCGTTGCCGTTCTGGGAGTCCCAGGAAGGAGTTTCACCTCAATCTCCGGGGCCAAAATCATCACAGCACTTCCTCTGACATCAATCAGTGACTTATCACGGTGTGTCGGCTGGAAGATGGGCGAGGCAGATGATGATATTATCACTGAAAGCGGAAAGAGTCTTTGTCACCGCGATGTTTCGACGCTCTCGCGCCTTATCATCGCGCGTTCCTCTTGTTTGGGGCCATTGGTGTGTTTGTAAGGTATAAATTCGAAAAAATATGAAATATTTACACGAGAAATTGTGATCAAAGGCGAAAGAGCAAGAAATCGCCTCGCATGTATTTTCGCTGGCTGATAACGCCAGAGAGTTTGAGCGCAGAAAAACGGAAAAATGACGCGATGTCTCATCTTTTTTTTACCATACTCTCGCGCCGTGTCAATTACTCAGGAAATTTATCAAACTGCGTGATGTTGAACAGAGTTTTGTGATTGAAAGAAATCAAAAAAATCAATCAATTAAATTATCTCGCCGTTTCGCGGGCGAATTCTTCCTCCTTTTTTCGGGCGCTGTGTTTTGAGTGATTTCTTTTTCCTCGCGCACTTTTCAGATCAATTATCTATTTTTGAAGGTATTTGTTCTTGTCTCCCGCGCCTTTCCCCACACTTTTCACTCTTCTGGTCTCTCCAGGCTTCATGGAAAAAAATCCAATCAAGATTTTTCACTCTTATCGCACCGCGCCGAAGAACACTTTTGGGACTTTGCCACACTCTCGGTATCTTTTGTAGGTGTTTTTCGTCTTCAATTTATTTGGGGAGCATGACACATTTCGGCCCCTCCAAGAGACATCAATTATTAATCTCTTAATTACGTCTAAACAGCTGCAACATTGATGAATTCATCGCGCGCGCGTTGTGAAATTTTTCGCCATCTTCACCGTGAGTTGTTCAAACGTGAAATGAGGTGGCGGGAAAAGATGATTTTGGGAATTTCTCAAGGGCAATTGATGGTGAATTTCTACGGAAAAAAACTGGTATTATCTCTTCTTCAACACGAGGAGCTCTTGGCCAATTTTTATGAGCTCAGCAATGGACAAATTTTCCCTCCAACCCAGAGAGATCTCCGTTATGTGTTGTGCGCCGATGGGAAAACACAGGTAGGCAAATACCTGAGGAGAGAAGAGCATCTTGGCTTAATGAACAACTTCCTCAGCTTGCAAATTCCTCATTTGAGATTCTCGTCAACTTTAACCGAGACATTTGAACTTTACCTGCGCGCAAATGGTCTGAATTTCATTATAGGCGAGGAATGGAATGAAAAAAAGCATAGAAGAATTGAAGAATTGTGAGGTTGAAGAATCATTTCCGGATATCATTTGAATTGTCTTTTTATCAATGGGGCTCATTTGAATAAATTAACACAAAGATCATTATCATAAAGAAGAAGTCTTCACCAGGGCAAAGTTTGGAGGTTTGCACATCGATTGATCTTGCAATTTAATGGGTCAAGGAAGGCATCAAAGTTGTCAATAACAATCCTTCAAGTCTGCTGGCAAATTCTTGATGTGCAGAAGCGCCGAGTGTGGCGTAATTAAATGCCACTTGTCAGCAACTGATGTTGGGCTTCTTGCGCTGCTGCTCCGCGGCAGGAAAGGTGAGCCGAGAGCGTGGCTGAGAAAGTTGAGATTGTGCACGAAAATTCTCATAGAAACTTTTAATCTCAATTGAGATAATCGTGTCGCGCGATGTCCACAAAGATTGTTTCAAAAGAGAGCCCCTGAAACTAGTTACATTAAAAGTATTTAGCACTTTTTGCTGACCCGCCGAGTTCATGAGAGAAAAATCTCGCACATGTGATGCGTTTTTCGTCTCCCGAAAAAATGCTCAGGCATGATCCGAGAGAAGAAGAAGACACACAACTTCAGACCCTCGACAGACTTCCGTGTGTCGTCTGAGAAAGTCGGCGCGCAAGAAAATGAGTGTCAAAAGGTGTTTGGGGTGATTTGGTGTCATCTGGCTCTTCCTTCAATTGTTTTCTCCACGGAGGGAATAATGTACCACCTGGTGCCATTCCAATCTCCATATCAATGGCCTATCAAGAGCTTCTAGGCGCTCTCGATTCCCAATAAATTTCCCGGTCGCCGCGTGTGTGCAAAGGTGGCTGCTACCGTTTTCCTGACCTCTGACCCACCTTTCCGCGCCTCTCCCAAGTGGGAGCGCGGCGTCATTTCCTCCATTGCCCCAGAAGCACGCACCATCCCGGAGAAATGCGGCGCGGAATACAAAGTCTGCCGAGAAGTGCCTCTGATGGAGATTCTCAGAGCTGCTGCAGAGATCGGGAGACATTTAGTGAATATTAACAAGTCCAGCGGAGATTTGATGGCGGCGATAATTTGAGGGAGAGTCAAGGGGGATATAATATGACTAACACTTCAATTGCTTGAAATTTGTAGTCTATTTCCAAATCATATTGAATTTCTTAAGTTTCCAATCGACATTCCGCAAGAATATCTTTGATCTTAGCACAATTCGCGGAATTTCTTGGCATCAACGGTGCAGATTAATGCCTAATTCTGCCAATGACTGGCGAACTCTTCAACTTGAACATAGAAATTAATGTTCCTGAATGTGAATTATTCACGAAATCTGTCCTTAATTCTTTACATAACCTAGAAAAGGATTATTATGATTGATTCTGCGTGAAAATCTGAGAAAATCCAGGGAATTGGGATAATTTGTCAGTAGAAGAAGGACTCAAGGAAGGAATATAGCAAGTTTTTTTTTACACTTCCACTTCTCAAGACTTCCGCTGAGCTGTATATCATTTGAGACTATTTTATCTCCCCCTTTGAGGAGAGTGAAAGAGGAGATGAAACGCCATCGCGATGAACAAATTAATGTGAATTGTGAGTCGCCTGAGCATCTCAACGGCACTGGGCACAGCAGAAGAAGAGCCCATTATCTTTTACTGCCTCGACACTGTCCTGGGGATGTCAGCAAAGAGGCTGCGCCGGACAATGGGAGATGAGAAGGAAGCGAAGAGGATGATTTCGCAGGAAAAAATGCGATTATGAGAACAAGTACCAGTTTCTCGACGTGGATTACCTTGTCCACCTTTAACCGATGACCACAGGTTTTTGGAAAGTTGACTTCTCTTCCATGAAGCCACCGTTGAAGGGTCATCGCGGGGAGATATCGTCGCTTCCATCGGCCAATGTCGCATCATCAATAGAGAGCGCGCGCGCATGTCGAGAAACTCCTGGAAACTACACCAGAGAATTATGATTGAAATCATTGATGAAATCTCTGTCAGTGCGAAATTGCACTGTGAAATTGAGGATTTCCTAAGAGTGTGCAGAGTCAAATGGGCAGGAAAAGAGAAAATCCGCGCGCGCCAAGACTTTGTGTGGTGTTTAAGCTGATGAAGACACAATTTTTGAGAGGTGCGAAAGAAAAGGAAATTAGATTGCAGTTTGCAAAGTGTGTTGAAGAAATCATTGCACTTCTCTTTGAGTGCACGCACAATTGCAGTGTGGTTGGCAATAAGTTTAATGTATGAATAAAAATGAAAATAGCGATGATACTTCCACAAAGTTCTCCCCCCCCCGTGCTCCGCCAAAAGAGGTGCAAAATTAACGCGGGTGAACATCA